CACCATATTTGTTGGAGGGCATTTGTTGACCCACATATCAAATTATGTGCGAAAAAGAGCAAAATCGGAGACAAAAACAAAAACGCACGATATCAACCAAATGACCTCCGAATACAAAACAGACTACGACGTTGAATTCAAGACATCATAGTCGCTTAAAAAGGACTATAAATTTGCTCATTTGAAATCATGCACGCACATCGACATGAATCTCAATACAAATTCAGAACGAATTTTGAGAAATTGACACAAAAATCAATGCGAAAAATAATTATTTTGATGTCTACCAACTCTATGATAATAAATATTATTATTACTCATTATATTAATAATATTTGTTACAAAGAAAAAAATGAAGAAAAAAAAAAGAAAATAATCAAATCAAATAAATTTGCATTACCTCGCCGTAGCGATCGGATGTCTGGCGGCCACTTTGGGTGATCCCTCCACGTCGTTAACGTACGACCTCAGCGATCTCAGCTTGCCCTTGTGCATAATCACTTTATATTAAAAGAGAATGGAATGAAGTCTCTGGAGGCTGAACGTTTTCACTACTGATCCTCTCGAACACTCACCTAAGTTCCTTCTGCCCTCCTCTCTCTCACACTGCCAACCTAAGCCCTTCAACCCATTAGCTTTTTGTCCAACTACAACAGCCACAGCCGCAAGCTTTTACACATCAAACCATACTTGTGGAATCATTACACGCCAAAGCAGAGCCATTAATTGTATTAACTTCAGGATAGTTTAATCCATTTGTTAGTTTATATGGCTATATAGGATTAGTGTTTGCCCATGTTTTGTCTAGCCTAGTAGGTTGCTATGGTTTGTCGATAAATACATAGCCATTAAGTGTAATGAGGGAGATTTTTAGAAATGAATAATATTTGAGTTTACTTTCTTGTGTTTTCCTGTATCCTAAGAGTGATTCTTAGGTGGTGGATCCTTCCTCCAAAAAAACTTGGAGCGGTGTCCGGCGACCATCACCGGATCGTCGACGTGGATTAGTCGAGCCCCCTCTGATCCGGTGTCATTTGGTATCAGAGCCGGCAAGATGCTGGCGTTGCCGACGAGGCAGGGAGAGCTTTTGAGTTATCTGATCTAGAAGAAGAAGCCATTTCTTGGCGCATCCTTTGTTTTTCTTTCTATATCCTGAATTGATTTTTCAGGTGGTGAAGAAACCGAGTTCAGCTGTCCGTAGAAACGAGTGTAGGGAAGGAGCGTGGAGTCAACCACAGTTTTTACATTCTTTCCATAATTATGACTCTTCCATAATTTCATTTTTTCCAGAATTCTGCATCCAAAATTTTTGCATTTAGAATTTCTACAGTTTTCAAGATTCACAACCTAAAGAATTTAGAATATCAAGATTTTGCATGTTGGAGTCTGCCACCAACGCCACCTTTACTTTCATACGTCATTTACAATATTCAAGATTACGTCAGCTATCAAGAAGAAGCAAAGCGTCATCCATCCTTTGCTCGTGAACCTAGCTAGGGAACGTGGGGTTTATCTTGCTTTCAGTAGTTGGTGCAAAGATCACCTAGGACTTCAAGACTGATCTACGATTTTAAATCTTCGGCGTTGTTGTGCTACAGGAGTCCGAGAGTAAATTGGTGTGGGAGATCGCGCAAAACAAGCCGGTGGTGTTGACATACGCGAGCAGGGCGTCCGAGCTGGAACCAAGAAGAAGATCCTTCTTCTCTATTTTGGTTGTGTTATCCTCGGCGATCCGGCATCAAGTACTAGGCTCACAAGCTGAAGTCATCTTCGTCTTTGCCAAGCCCTGTAGATCGGACGTGTGGTCTCGAGCTTTACATGCGATATGCAACGGAGTAGGGAGACCGGACGTTGGACTTGATTGGGCTGTCGGAGGGCGGCAAGGGCTATTGATGCTGGTTCGCATGTGGATCTAACGGACACTGCCGAAAAGCTTCAGAAACTGAGAGCTTCTTTCCCCTTTGTGAGCGTGGTCCCAGGCAGAGCATCTTCTTTAGGCATAGCCAAATTTTACCTCTGTAACCAGCCATATTTTTCCTGGACAACAACCAAGAAAATCATTGTCTGCATCTTCTACGCACTAAGAACCATTTAATTTGATTATTGGTCTTGAAATTAGCAGCTAAACAGAATAAGATGTGGCCTTATGAAACTGAGCAACGACCACTTCAAGATGCAGAAATTAAAGATCTGCTATAAGAAATTGCACAACTCAAACGATGGTTGTCAAGGCTTGAACGAAGGACAGACTGGAGCACCATCGGCCAAGACTTTGATGGTTTCCAATCACGGGACAATTATGCTTCCATGACGGATTCAAGATCCTTTGTTCCAACTAAATCCTTATGAATCGACGACGACGACGAGGGCATTGCAGATGATCAGATTTCTTCCACCCCACCCTTGATCGAGTTCAGCTTCAAAGAATTTGAAGATCCGTGGCCAAAATTGTCGTTTTTGCCTCTCTACAATAAACCTGTGTATGATGTTTACGATGCGACATGTTATTTGAAGTTCTTGATGTTGATAAGCCCATGTATGACGATGACCAGAGCAGGATGGATGCCCCGCTGCAGTTATGCATGCATATTCCTCATGTTAAGGCAATAAATGCGCTTGCCATCACTGATAAGAGGAATGTTCCAAGTAAACTACTTTATGAAGATGGAGATAAGCCAAAAGGTGACATAAAAGATGGGATAGGCTGCAAGATTGTTGTTCGCTTGGATTGTTATAGTAGTCTTAAAAATCTCGTTGGTCCATGGCAATGTGAGTTTTGCGAGGTTACATCCTTACAGGCAAGTCGTAGTAATCAACAATTCGGAAGCAGTGAAAAGACTTGTTCTAGAGTCCAGTGTAGTTTATGCAGTGGTGTTGACACCGATTGGATTTATCCAGACCAGTTTAGCCAACCAAATCCACCTTCTTATGGTGGCCACCCGGACATCTTCCAATAAGCCTGAAGTTCCTCCTACCCCGGTAGTATGATGCCGGAGCTAACCTAATCAATCCTGTTTAAATTCAGGCTAGTTTTAATTCCAATTGGTAGATATATTGTTGTATAGGAGTAGTACTTTCTTTTATGGCATGTAGCCTTTTATGTTGCCTAGTTGTCTATAAATACTTGTAGCAATTGCTTGTAATGGCAGATTTGGAGATTAATAAAATTAGAGTTTTACTCTCTTGTGAATTTCTATAACCTAAGATTGTTCTTAGGTGGTGGTTCTTGCTCCAAGGAGTTCTTGGAGTGGTGTCCGGCAACCGCCACCGGATCGTCGACGTGGATTCGTCGAGCCCCCTCCAATCCGGTGTCAAGTCGACTACTCACCATCACGTAATAACATAGATGCTCCAAGGCTTCCACTACCTCCATATAAGATATTTTAATAGTTGTTGTCTAATACATAGCATTAAGGCCTTCTTGAGTGAGAAGGAAAACAAGCCTTTGTAATCCTTGACTTAGAATTGTTGAATTATTTCAATTAGGCGCTATGGTTTTCCCCTTCCTCCATTTTCACATAAAAAAGCTTACATGTCTTGATTGTTGCTCTCAACTTATTTCGTACAATGCAAATATGCTAAACTCTCTCAGCACTACCACAAATATTTTAGCATGTGACAGTTCTCAAGATACGTTCAAGCAAAATGATAAAAAAGCCACTATCCCTTTCCATATCATTTATTTAACTTTTTCAGTGTTTACCTTTTATTGACAGGAACCAGCAGTTGGTCATTGATAGTTTTATATTATCTCCTCAAAAAGTAGTAACAAGACTACTAGGTAAGACTGTTTTAAGCATCAAGATAGAATGCATTGAAAGCAGAATGAACTTTAGGCATTGATCCAATAAATGTAAACCAAGAATGAGAACAAGCAATACTGTATTGGTTAAATGGTTTTCTGATGGATCTCTGGTTCTATCATGACTGACTATGAGAGAGTTTGCTTAGATTGAAAAAAGGGAAGTTGAGGAACCCTGTGATGCATACAAGCTTTTAATTTATTTTCTTTTCTTTATGGAACTATTGAAAAGATAATAAATAAAAAGTAAGGCAAAGTAATTTTAACCATGTATCAAGTTCCCTTGCAATCAGTTCCATATATCAAGATATGTGCGTCTGTTATGTGGTGATAATAGCATGGGTAACATACAATTCTGGCATGTGCGGCTATTAGTTATTAACCAGTAACATGAAATAATCATCCTCATAAAACTGAAAAACCAAGCATGTATTGGAAACCCAAACTACTCCCAGTTACTATGGTACAAAAGATATTTTTCTAAAAACGTGAAACGAGATAGGCTTCTCATCACTCTGTTAAGTTGAGGCTATTTCAAGTGTGCCTGGTTTCTTGAACTAAGCTGCATGCAAAATGCCTTCAGTTCTCCAAAATTAAAACATTGAAAACTTGAAATAGTATTATAGGAGAAGAGCAGATATTTTTCTAAACGTGTGAAACAAGATAGGCTTCTCATCACTCTGTCAAGTTCAGATTATTTCAAAGTTCCCTGTTTTTTTAACTAAGCTGCATGAAAAATGACTTTGGTTATCCAAAATAAAACCCAGAAACTTATAGTAGCATGATAGAAGGCAGAAGCTCAATAGGTTAAGCTAATCCCATGTTTCTTCATTAACTCTCTCAAGCCCCAAAAAGTTGACAGAAAGATGTGATTCCCTAAGCATTTGGATATATATATATATATATATATATATATATATATATTTGTCCGAAGGCTATCATTATCCCAATATTTGACAGAAGACAGTTGTTGCATCCTCAACAGTTTAACATTCACTGTTCCAAGTAGAAAGTTTAACAATCAAAATAATTTCATGTTTACATTGTTCAAGGCCAAAAAGAAAGAACCATAAAACAAGGCCTGTTCATTTTGCAATTGGATACGGTTCAACTTGATATTAAAAAACGCATAGAACAAGTGAAATCAAGTATTTCATGCTATTTTGTAACTTCTAAAGAACACAATAAGTATACATACCTGTGTAATTAAAAGCTTATTATATTCTTCATACTCTTTCTCCACATTTACTAAAGCACCACCATATAAAGATGCAACTTTTGCTAGAGTCCCATCACTTGCATAGTTCTCACCACCGTACTTGAAGCAATCCTCTGACAATCTTGTCCCTTATAATCATAGATATAAGGCCTTAAGTACAGAAAGAACTAGCAATGTCAGGAGGTAATTGCAGCTTAAAGAAAGAAAATTTTTAAAAGTAATCACCAGCTTCAATATGTCTATGACCAATACTTGCAAAGACTTCACCTGCTCTAACAACATCCTTTTGGAAATCCTGACGCAATATTTTCTATGTCAAAACTTGCAAATACTGATTAAAAATGACAATTAATGCAGATATATGTACAAAATAAAACTAGCTAACCTGACAGTAAAGAAAAAAATGTCTTAAACCTAGTTCAAAATCCCTTTTTTTAAAAAACAACAGACAAAAAGATAGAGTACACTATCTGATCAGAGATTGCCCAGCACACTTACAACTTGTGCTTGTTTGCACAGAAACCTTTGCTAGTTCAACTAAGAAAAGGCGATGCAAATTACTTTCTGCATATTGCAAGACCAATAGTTAGAATACAGTGGGGTCATCTAGCTCACTCCTAAGATGTTGATAGGAAACACTTGGTTTTCCAAGTGTTTCTCACCAAAACCAAGTGGATCCAAGGGAAAACTACTGTCCACAGCAGAAAAACAGCCAAAATACAAGAACTCGGAGAGGAAAAACGTAGAAGAGCACGTAGGAAATGATGCAAACACTTTTATTTTGTTAATGGATGAAAAGCACTTGCAAGATACAACTTTCCTTCAATTCGAGAGGAAGGAAAAACTCTCCGACAATCTCTGGCAAAGCCAAGAGCCCAAGCACACCAAACCCTAGATTTCAAGATAATTCAAATTCAAGATACCCCTAATTCTCTCTTAACTCTCTAATTAAAGCAAAAGGAAAGATACAAATTACATAAACACCCTCTTCATTCAAAAATTCCCTCCAACGAAACGCTCGAAAGCTGCCTAGCCCGCTCCTTCGTCCGCTGTTTCTGCGATCGGCGGGTTCCGCCCGGCTTTGGACCGCCGGGCGTAGAACCGGACTGGTCCAGCTGGGACCGGTCCAATGTTATGCGTAACATTACTCCCCTCCCAAAAACTCACCTTGTCCTCAAGGTGAAAAGAAGGAAATTGCTCCTTCACTCTTTTAAAAGGCTCCCATGTAGCGTCGAAATCAGGGAGGCCTCTCCATTTGATCAGTACTTCTTTGTTGCCCATTTTATCTGTTCGGACTCCTGCAAGCTCTAATGGTTCTAAAACCACTTCTAAGTCTTCCGTCATAGTAGCTGGTAGTTCTACACTCACTGCATGCTCCCCAATGGCTCTCCTCAACTGAGACACATGGAACACTGGATGTATAGTGGCTGAGGGGGGTAACTTCAATCTGTATGCCACTGCTCCAATCCTCTCCAACACTTCATAAGGGCCAAAGTACCTCGGTGTCAATTTCTCATTCTGCCTTCTAGCCACTGTCCTCTGCCGGTAGGGTCGTAGTTTTAGGAACACCTTCTCCCCCACTTCAAACTGCATGTCTCTCCTGTGTGAGTCTGCCTGTTTTTTCATGATTTGTTGTGCCCGCAACAGATGTCTCTTTAGTTCTTCCAGTATCTTGTCTCGTTCCTCTAGGTACTGCTCCACAGACGATACTGGTGTGCTTTCTCTTCCATAGTGCACTAGGTGCGGAGGGTCCCTCCCATATAGTACCTTGAATGGGGTCATCTGGGAAGCGGAATGGAATGAGGTATTGTACCAATACTCAGCCCATGGCAGCCACTTTGCCCACAATCGTGGGGTTTCAGAGACAAAGCACCTCAAATAGGTCTCCAAGCTTCGATTTACCACCTCCGTTTGTCCGTCTGTCTGTGGGTGATAGGCTGTACTTCTCTTTAGAACTGTGCCCTGCATCCTGAACAGCTCTCTCCAGAACTGGCTGAGGAACACTTTGTCTCGATCAGACACAATTGATTCAGGCACCCCATGTAGTCTCACCACCTCCCTGATAAAAGCTGCAGCAACTGACACTGCAGTGTATGGGTGTCTTAGAAGAACAAAATGTGCATACTTACTAAGCCTGTCAACCACCACCATAATGACTGTGAACCCCTCCGACCTTGGTAGGCCATCAATGAAATCCATGGATACTTCCTCCCAAACTCTGTTTGGAAGTGTCAATGGTTGTAGTAAGCCTCCCGGAGCCATGGCCATGTACTTGTTTCTCTGACATACTTCACACCTGGCCACCATCTCCTCCACATCTTTAGTTCCGCCCGGCTTTGGACCGCCGGGCGTAGAACCGGACCGGTCCAGCTGGGACCGGTCCAATGTTATGCGTAACAGATGTCCTTGGTCTAATGTTAGCCTAAAAACCGGAATTGTAACGGGAACTAGACTGACTTAAAAAACCAGGACTGTTCAAGAAGTTCACAGGGCAATTCTCATTTGATTCAGTTCAATTAACTCTACAGTAAATGACAAAGTCAGCAGGCAAGGCTCATTTTGCACGATAAATTGAAGGAAAATGGTCCTCTAGGGATCAAATATATTTGGGCAAGGCTCATTTTGCACAAAAAATTTTCAGAACACACTGAGTATAGAAAGCAAGACCTGATCTTTCTTACCCTGGCTGCACGAGTAGATTTGTATAATTTCTCCAATTGCTGATGTCTATACAATTCAACCTCGTCAATTACCATCACATCAGAACTCTCATAACCACTTCCACTGAACTGCTTTATCACTGCCTGAAACCAAATAAAAATAATAAATTGAGTCTTAGATAATCACTCAATATCAAGGATGCACACTTATTTGTCAGTAGTATTTACGTTTGCCTGTTTGATGAATGAATGTCTATATGCAGGGAAGACGCCTATTTGATGGATGTCCGGATGCAAGGAAGATGAATATATAAATATAAATTCTAAAGCATAGAAAACGGGATTCGGAATCATATTTTTTTAAAAGTTACAACAAAACAAAAACATAAAGCTTCTTAAGTATCTTTTTATAAATTAAACTCCTAGTTCTATCAATTCCATCCATCCTCCACCAAAGAATGAGGTAACAGAAAAGGGACAACATATGTGCTCATTGGCTTCTATATATATATATATAGCTAGTTAAATTTAATTTTCATGTTGTCAGAGCTTGTTTGTAAAATTTAGAGGGTTTCTACTTGAAACGAATATTATAATTTCCATGATCCATAAGATATGCTTCTACCACATCAACTGAAATTTTTGACCATATATTAAGTAATTAGCTATTGCATTTAACACCGATCTATAATTAAAAAAAAAACATCACAAATTCATTGTAAACCACCATACCATACAATCATTGGCAATATGCCTGTACAAGAAGTCCAATACAATCAAACATGCAGTCTGTGCATAAGGATAATAAGAATACTAAGATATTGTTAAATTACAATTATCAAAAACAGTTTCAATTCTTTTCCTATGAAGGAATAATTCACCTTTGGAGCATCAGAGATCAAGGAAAGTGAACAACCAAGTGTATTTTTCATGCATGCTTCAGTCATTCAATTTTCCTTTCATGCATTCAATTCCTGACAGATTTCTTAAGCCTTTCAAGTGAAATAGATGCAAGTAATTCAAACAACAGCATATAACCAACGCAGCAAAATAACTGCATTTACTTGGCAACAATTTTGTGAAGTGGGCTAAAAAAAGAACTGATAATCACATGTGCAACAAGCATGTAGAGGAAGGTATGCAATTGTGTTTTTATTGGTGTGTATTTAGAATATATTATTGTGTAAAAGATGTTTTTAACATTCTATGAACAATAATAGGTAGAGATAGACCTAAAAAGGTTAGAAAATATTAGAAATGATCTTTCTTTATTAGATTTAAATGAGAATTTGAATTTTAACAGGACACAGTAGAGAAAAAGGATTCATGTAGCCGACCCCACGTAGTGGGACAAAGGCTTGTTGTTGTTGTTGTTGTTGTTGTTGTATGAACAATAATGCATAGAAAGAACCACACTAGTATATACTCTCATGAGCATCTTCCTCAATGTGCACATTACTAACCTAATAATCATTCATAAAAAAAAGTAGCTTAATCTAAAAGTAAATGCAGCTACTACAAATCAAACAAAAACACCGAAGTATTATTACCTTCACCACAAAAAACAGGCAAGTAGTTAATACAATTTTCAGGTGAAGCAAATTTATTGTAAAGTAAATCCCTGCAAAGTAAATACAATAAGCTTGATAGCATTTTCATTGCTGCAGGTTTCTAAATAGAATGAATTATGGAAGCAAACTTTATTGACTTTAAGCCTCTGTTTTGATTGACAGAATTGAAAGATTGAAAATAAATATGAAACGAAGTGGAAATGATAAAGGAATTTATTTGAAATTAGCTTTTACTGAATTGTTTTGTCGAGGAGAAATTCAGTGGTTTTTTCTTTGTTGTTTGATTGATGAGAAATTGTGTTTTTATTTCTTTTGAGGGACATGGGAATCACAACTATGATCTTATAAATTTTATTTTCCATTTTTCACTAGGATTGGTAAGAGACTGTCAATGAAAAAGAACATTTGTTAATATTCATTACATTGAACCTAAACACTTAATATAGAGAAGAATGAATTTGCTTTTCCTTCAATTGATCCAAACAAAATGTATCCTAAATGGCTACAAGTAGGAATTAATTCAAATTGGATTTAGTAAATCCTAAAAGCTAATAAACTATTTGGCATGATAGATGCTAAATTTAGCTAAGCCCTTATAAAATGTTTGCAGATATTTTCAAATTTTTTGGGTATAATGAAAGAGAAGAAGAAGCAAATCGAGTAGAAGTGTAAGTCTCTTAAATCCTCCATGCCTGAGGATTTACTAAATCCAAAACTAAGCTTAAAATAGGGGGAAAGAAGAAGATTTAAGAAAGTATTAAGATTTTTGTGGCTTAAAAAACTGTTTGGCAAGATTTAACCTAAATCCCGGCTGGCCCCAAAAAGTTAGCTTTCATGTGATTTCTTCAAATTTTCATTAAACAAAGAAGTCCCAGCCAACATTAGCTTTCAAGAGAAAGGTTTAAGGCAATAACAGCTGAAAATGCTATATAGGGCACCAATCTAACATTTTTGCTTCTGTAATACACATGCAGAAGCATATCGCTTCACAACCAGAAATGAATCACCATAAAACTACAATTAAAAATATTCACGATTACTAAATAAAAATAGCAAAAGAAGAACTTGAGACAAACGAGACAAAAACACGATCTTTCCCTTCCCAAATAAAATAATCAAAACCCTACAATCCCTACAAGCCAGCATTCACCAAAACAATAAGCCACGACGAAGTTTTCCACATTCACGATATATGTCGTTTCCCACCGAATCATTCAACTCGCATCGATCTATTTCTTGGACAGAAAGCAATGGAGATCACCTGTTGCTGCTTCGCGACCTGCTCTCTCAGCTTGCTCGCCTGCTTCCTTAGCTTGTCCATTGCAATCACCACTGAACCCTGTAAGAACCCGAATCGAAGCAGATATGTAAAATCCCTGAATTCCTCTCTCTCTCTCTCTCTCTCTCTCTCTCTCGAGTTCTGCAAGTGATGCGAGCACAGCAGAAGACTCGACGCGGGATTTACTAGTTGTCGTTCATTAGATACTTGTGAAGTTAGTGCAGTAAAAAATATATATTTTTTTTAAGTTTGTTCTAAATATTATAAATATTTTTGAAAATAGTGTATTAATTTTTTACAATTCTCACATATTATTAGATAGGATTAAACCAATAACTTTTAATCACCAAAATTTTGAAAAATAATTAAAAAAATTAGTAAAAAAGTAATAATCAAAGAAAATTTTAATATCTATCTCAAAAATCAAAATAGTAAGAAAGGTTGGAAGCGAAGCACCTCTAAGGATTTTATTAACTCTAGTAAATGAAGTTGAACAGTAAAATTTATGTGTTGTTGCTTAACTTGGTTGGTGGGCAAGTACGGTTGGGAACCCCTAACTCGTGCTTCATTCTCCTCACGCGGCAACGCCTCCTAAGCGGGGGCTCATGAGACTTTTGAGGTGGGTGCCTCTTCTAAGTCAGCAGAAGATTAGTCACGCCGCCAAACACCCCTTCGGGAATTGCAGCGGATAAATTCCCCGTTTCCTATATATATATACTATTATTTTGAGTGCCCAACTCATAAATTTCTTGATGATTAATAACAATCATTTCATATGATAGCATGTTTTTTTAAGAAAAATTATAGCGAATGATCACTTCTTCTTAGGCTAAACAAAGATAATAAAATAGATAAAAATTCTTCATCTTAAAAAAAATGGTTTTCAAAATGATTTGTGCTTTAAAATAATATATTTTAATTAAATTAGATATTTCTGAATTCTAATCTTTCACTTGAGAAGACATTATCATATTGCAAATTTGTTTAATTATGATTAATAAATTCATCTAATTAAATTTCGGCCAAAAGTGACAATTTTAAATTATTTTGGTCCTATTTTAATGAAAATTGAATAGAATATAATTAAAGAGTTATCTAGATTTATTTACATGTGGCTTTAATCATTATTTTACATTATTTAATTATACATTTTAAAATATTAAGGAGAAATTTGCAAATCTTGATCATTATCTTTCTATTTTATTATCTTGAAGGGCTTTCATTCTTTTAATCCTCTATTTATGTTGGTTTATATATGAAGAACACAAAAACAATAATATTAATCCGAGTCTCAAGCACTAGATGTTACGTTAGTAGTTGACAACTAGCATAAATTTTATCGAACAAAAACACAAGCCAGTTAATAAAAGATAATGAAAAGATTAAACTACACCCTTATTACGTGTTTCTTCAAGTTATTTATTTAAGCAATAAATATAAAATTGATATTATTATCTCATTAAAGTTTCGTTTAGGATGATTTTTTTACTAATTTTTATATTAAAAAATTGTTTTAAGAAGCAGTAAAAAGCCATCTCAAACGAAGCCGAAGTGGCTCAAAAGCATTTGCAACTTATAGGAGAGGACAAGAGGTTATACAAATAATAAATCTGGACAAAATAGAAAAGTGAGAAGTAACCAATGCTACACACTAAAATCGAAATTGCTGAAGGCAGAATAACATACTAAAAACATTATGATATTGAATGTTTCTTTATCCTCCAAAAGGATTTCCTGAACTTTGTTTGCTTTAAAAACTATCCATGTGTTTGAGAATGGCTTTGTGAAAATCTGCCACTGGTTAGTAATTGAACTGAAAAACTTTAAAGAATTTTCAGACCATGTAAGTCATGCCTACTTGCATCAAATGTGTGTGAGGAATGCTCAAAGTTGCTATCCCTCTTCTGCAATTCTTCCTCAAGAAGGCATAGAAGTAGTTTATAATCAGCTTTTTGAAAAACCAAGAGTCTTTCCTGGCTCTAATATCTCCATGACCAAGAAGGTAAACTACCCCTGACTCCTTTGCCTTGTGTATGAAGGAGAGTTCACTCTCCAGGCTCTTTCCTGGATCTGTAACAGCATCATCTATGGCCTGAGAAAATGAAGAACTAGCTTCCGAGCTTTGTTTTTCGAGGCACTCGTAATCGGAAAGAAGAGGAACGCCGAGGGAATAAATGCTGCCATTTGGAGCGACAAGAACACTTGAAGAAAATGATGTTTCTGCTTCAGAATCAGAATCGCTTTTAAATTTAAATATTACAAATCTTGAAGAGCTTTCATTCTTTGAATCCTCTATTTATGTTAGTTTATATATGAAGAACACAACAATAATATTAATCCGAGCCTCAACATCTATTAGAGTAAAATTTATCGAATAATTAAGAAATGAAGAATACAAGCCAGCTTAATTAAAAATAATAACATACATAATGGGTCTTTTATGCACATCAATTAATGATTGACAATATATTCTTTTAAGTTATCTAATACCTTATTGTGTTTCTTCAAGTTATTTATTTAATCAATTAATATAAAATTAATGATATGATCTCACTGAAGTTTCGTTTGGGAGAACTTTTTTATTGTTTCTTAAAGCAACTTTATAGCACAAAAAAATTAATTTTTGTACTAAAAATCTGCTTTTAAAAAAGCCATTCCAAACGAAGCAGAAGTGGCTCAAAAGCATTTGCAACTTATAGGAGAGGACAAGAGGTTATACAAATAATAAATCTGGACAAAATAGAAAAGTGAGAAGTAACCAATGCTACACACTAAAATCGAAATTGCTGAAGGCAGAATAACATACTAAAAACATTATGATATTGAATGTTTCTTTATCCTCCAAAAGGATTTGCTGAACTTTGTTTGCTTTAAAAACTATCCATGTGTTTGAGAATGGCTTTGTGAAAATCTGCCACTGGTTAGTAATTGAACTGAAAAACTTTAAAGAATTTTCAGACCATGTAAGTCATGCCTACTTGCATCAAATGTGTGTGAGGAATGCTCAAAGTTGCTATCCCTCTTCTGCAATTCTTCCTCAAGAAGGCATAGAAGTAGTTTATAATCAGCTTTTTGAAAAACCAAGAGTCTTTCCTGGCTCTAATATCTCCATGACCAAGAAGGTAAACTACCCCTGACTCCTTTGCCTTGTGTATGAAGGAGAGCTCACTCTCCAGGCTCTTTCCTGGATCTGTAACAGCATCATCTATGGCCTGAGAAAATGAAGAACTAGCTTCCGAGCTTTGTTTTTCGAGGCACTCGTAATCGGAAAGAAGAGGAACGCCGAGGGAATAAATGCTGCCATTTGGAGCGACAAGAACACTTGAAGAAAATGATGTTTCTGCTTCAGAATCAGAATCGCCATCCTCGTCGCTTTCTAAAGAGCGTTCTTGGGCTTCTCGACGAATGAATTTTTCAAGGCTTTCGATCAGAAGTTGTTCAAAGATCTGGTGATGCTCCTTCCGCACATCTTTGTAGCCATACCTATAGGAAACAAGCTTAAGTAAAGGGCGCTCTGTTGCAAATCATATTGAAAGGAAGCAGTTTAAGTTCATTGGAAGGTTTGCTGGTGCTCATTAGGATTGTAAAAAAAAAAAGGTTTGTTAGTGTTCGTTAGGATTGTCAAAAAAAATAAAAAAGTTTGTTTGTGTTCAATAGTATTTGGCTCAACATTTAATTTATCCTTCATATTTTGTCTTTCAAGTATTGGCATGAGGAGGATTATTAGGCTTGCAAATGAAAGGACTGATCTCTATCACTATTGAGAATGTAAAGATCAAGAAAAGTACATACAACATTTAGTATTAACATCTGAGAATCATGTTCATCATTCAAAAAATTCAATATGGGAGAATTTCTATGTGATGTTTGTGAATTAGCACAACACGAATACATTAATTTTTCAATGAGTGATACAAGAACTCTTATTCATTTTTCACTTATTCATAAATATTATATGGGGACTATCCTTTACATCTAACATCCATGGGGCTTGATAGTTTATATCCTTTAACGATGATAACACCTGTATGTAATGAATTTTTTTATTATAAGTCAAAGATTGATCTTAGTATCATCTTTCCTACCATTTCATTATGGTCAAATATCAATTTGGTGTTTCAATATTAGAAGAGATAGATCTCAAAACACAGTGACAACTTAACCATTTTATCACCTTGTACTTCCCAAAAAAAAAAATACAAAAGTCCTCATGTGCATGTACACTCCATTAAAATGGGATTGATGAACGAAAAAACAAACACCTACTTGCTCATACAAGTGATCTCTTTTTTTTTAATAAATATCCCAAAATAATTGGGTGTGAAACAACTATAACAATCACGAACATCATAAACTATTTACCTATAAAGGTTGTTTCGATTCAAGAGTTCTACACAAATTCTAAACAAGTTTTTGCCCATTTCAAGACCTCATACATTGTTCTCAAAATATTTAAAAGTGTTTTCTTTGCTCATAAATATTTCTAAAATAGGCAAAAACTTAATCCTAGAGAAATTAAATATAATTTTATTAACTATTCTCCAATGCAAAAAATAAAAAATAAACAAATGCTATCACCCCCCTCAAGAAGAATGGAACAAGCTCGCAAGATTTCCTGGGGAGATGAGAAGGAGAATGGAACAAGCTCGCAAGCTTTTCCAATAAAACCCGTAGGTTTACATTTCCAAAAATCAATCACATAACATTTAGGCAAAGGGGGGGTCAACTCAAACCCAAAATAAGTTGATTTTGACTTCAAATTTGAGCTGGAATTTAGCTCATTTATGAGCTGGTTTTTAGTTCATTTATTGAACTAAGGGTTAGCTCATTATTAGCTAAGTTTTAGTTCATAGTTATCTTTTAATTAATGTAATTTTATAGTTTTTTATGTCTTAATTTAAGTTATCCCTTGGGATTCCAAAATGGCTTTTGGAATCCCAAGGAAGTTTGTTCTCCCATGCCGTTGCTCCTTGGCTTCCACGGTTGGCTGTTGTTTTCCATGCATGGCTCCTTGGTTCTCACGGTGGCTGATGGTTTTCCGAACTGAGGGCCTTCCCGTGGCTTTTGGCGCGCCAGTTCCGTGCGGCCTCTTGGGTTCCCGTGGCTGCTTCTTCGGTTTCCTGGGCTAGGTTGTTTTGCCGTGAAAAGCAAGGGGGCTTTTCCACGGCTTGTGATGTTTGGGTTCTTGTGGAAATTTATTTAAGTGTATGTTTGTATTCCCCTTTCATACCTATAAATATGAGGGGTTATGTATTGTTTTAAAAAGAGTGAAATATGAATTTTTGAAAAGAAATATGTTGATTTTCTTGGAGAAGCTTGCGAGCTTTGCCCACCTTCTTCTCCCACCTCCTTTGGAAATCTTGCGAGCTCTTTCCACCCTTCTTCTCGGCTTCTAACCTCTTTTGTCTCTCCGCAAGTGACCACCCCACATGTATCCTTCGTCTCTAAGTAAAGCAAGTTTAGGGTGTCTTACTATTAGATTCAAGTTTGTTAGTCGTTTAATTTTAATCTGTGTTGAAAGTTTTGTTTTTTAATTTCTAAGTCTGTTTTAGATTGAAATGTAAGAGTTTGTTCATCTTATTACATAGGAGTTTCATATTTTCGTTACCTTTGTGGGCTGAGGTTCTCGGGTCCCCCATCCCCCGGAATTTTTGCCCACATCATGTATGATTTGTGGATGATAATGAGGTCATACCATCTTAGTTGCAACAAGATGATCTAAATGCTGATTTCTTCGATGGGAGAGCGAAATAAGAGAATTACTTCTAACACAAGCATACAACAATAAAAATTTTAAAAAAAAAATGTATCTATAAAGATTTAAGTATTTAAAGTTATCTTAAACTTTAATTAATATTCTTAATTCTTTATTGAATATTACTAATTAGGGAAGATGAAGATGATCGACATTAAAGAAGAAGAAAAAGAATGGGAGAACTTAAGACTCAACCGAAGATGAGACAAGAAAGAAAACTATTTAGTATAATGATGACTCCAATGAAGATTCCCTGAGTAATGAGAGTGATGAGGACTTTTGATTGCTTGTTACACTCTTAAGTAGATCATCAGATGTTGCAATATTGGATAAAAGGAGGTAAGAGAGAAACTTATTATGCTAAACTTGTTTGAAGTGTTATTTTTTTATATATATTATGTTATTTTATTTGATTTCATGTTACTTTAATTAATTCATGTTTGCATTACATTTCTACTTTGCACAATTTGCTACTTGATATATATACAAATTATTACTTCTTACCATATTAGAATGTTAATATATCATTTTTTAACATATTAATTGATTGTGATGTTACTATATGACTTCTTACCATCATTTTACTTCACAAATTTTTTTATTGTGAGACTTATGCCTCAAAATGCTTTGAGATTTACATCTTGCCTAATGGATAAAAAACATCTCAATACCCAATTGCAAAATTTCAAACCTTGATTTGAAGGAAACCAAGAATAAAAGAATTCTATTTAAAAAAATGAGAGGATTTGACTCTTAAAGAATACAAAGATGCAGATTATGTGAATTATATAATTGTCAAATGGTCAACTTTAAGGTATTGCACATTTGAAAAAAGTGATCTAGTGTCTTGAAGAAGAAAGAAATAAAATATGGTAGCAAGATCTAACATAGAAGCCAAATTTGAATCTGTAGCACGGGAAACTTATAAATTATTATTGTTAAAAATTATCCTGAAAGATTTAGAAGTTGAGTGAAAATGAATTATGAGGCTCTATTGTGATAACAAGTTATCTATTAATATTGCACATAATTCTATGTAATATGCTATAAAAAGCATATTGAAGTTGAAAGGCAATTTACAAAAGAGGAGCTAGTAAGAGGTCTAATATATACTCCATTTACAACCACGGGAGAATAAATTACTGATATTGTCGCCAACAAATTATCAGGGGCAATCTTTCAAAAATTATGAGGCGATCTTGGAGTTGATGACATCCATTTATTTGCTTGAGATAAAGAGTGAAACAAATGCATAATTTTGCCAACTTGGACCTACTCACCAAGGCTATCATTCTCTTTTCTTCCTCTTCCCATGTCACCAATTAATCAATGGAATCCCTACTTATAACTAATCAATCCATAAACTATTCTAATTGCTTTATAATTATTATTCAACCTAATCAACAATTCACGAGCTATTATAATTATTATGTAATTATTATTACTTGATTTTATTTGTTTCATATTAGAATCTCTCTTAAGATTGTAAAAATACTAAATAAATATTAGAATTAAGCACTCAATCGGCTCGCACCAATTCTTGTCAAAAATACTAATCATATAGAAGCTACTTATGAATCAGATGGAACATAGCTTAATCAACTAATGGATCACAACTAAAATACATGAATGAGATCATCTGCCCAAAAAATATTTAGAAGCCAAAACTTTTTGCGTTTGGATCATGCTCCTACTATCCAATTCAAGTTCCTTTGGTTGTATGAAAATTAGTTGATTGAAATGAAAAGGAAAAAAAACAAGTTCCTTTGGTTGTAGTAGCATTTCAATTTGTCAGCAATACAGATATTACAAGCAGATAAACAATTTCTTTTTTGCTCTATACAAAGCATTATAGATATAGGGTTTTAAAAACTGCGCATATGAATCTTTACTAAAGATTGTAATTAACAAAAAATATTTAGGATAAAACCCTACAACTAACTATTGATGGACAGTCTAATTCATGCTATACGAAGAAACACCTTATTAGACTCAATCATGAATCAACCTTCAGGCAAAATGGTGCCTAAAGAGCTTCACAGAATTTCACTTTACAGCAGCTGGGGCGACCTCCTTTAGGTGATATCAAAGAAATTAAACATGCAAAAAAGAACCTACAATCAAAATGATTGTGAAATCTACAATAATGAAAACAACCAATTGGGTGAAAAAAAAATTGGTGTATTTTTAATATTTATCTTATGTTTTATTCGCTCTCGGTATTTTAAATTATGGCATATAGTTCTCAACACAAACATCAACTTCTTTGGTCCCTACCTAATAGATAAAAATCTAAATATCATATATGAAGAAGTACAAAGCAATAAAATGATAAAAGACGGTTGAAACATGTAAACATAGCATGAAATCTATCAGCCAAGGATTTAAATTTAAACATAAATCAGTCACCATAACCAAGCAATCCTCACAATTTTAACTACAATTTATGGAGCGGGTTCTTTTATGTACCTAGCAATGCAACGGAACATGTGATAGCTCTTGGGGCAGACACGTCGGAAAAGAAACCTCTCATTCTGTGGTACCACGGGAACGGGAACATACTTAATGGACACAAAAATGATCATGGAGTGAATGGCTGGAAGGGTAGTTAGAAAGTGTCCAAATATTGCAGGGATCCCTTTCACCAATTCATTGTAAACTAACCCCATACCAGGGGCTCTGATAGTACCAAGATTGCAACCAAGTTTCAGCATTAAATCCATTGACAACTTCCGCTTGACCTCAGTTTCATACTTCATCTTGCTGCCATAATTCCATATAGACATAATCATAAACAAAACTGCAGCAAACAACAACAAAACCCAGCTTCCATCGCTCACTCCGCCCAAAACTGATGAGAAGAAAAGCAATTCCAAGCCCACGTAGAAAATAAAATAGAATAACACCAGGAAAATGTTGATTTGCCATATAAGAAGCATAATAATGGTTACGAGGACTGTGGTCACCATCATAACTCCAACTTCAGCAATGCCTGCAGCAGAGCTCAATATTAAAATTCAAAGGGCTCTGGAAGTAATATCATAATATAGAATTTATTATACACACAAAAGCCTTTTATAGAACATAGAAAAATAAAGCACCGTTATAAAAACTGAAAACAAAATCAAAGATGTTAAACAAACAAAGGAAAATGTTTATTATGTCATTCAAATTATCATAACACCTTTTATTTTTTTTATTCTCTGATTAAAGTCATGCCTTTCTTTTTATGGAAATATGAATAATGCAAAACAATTAGATGAAAATTTGAACAAGCATGAATATCAAGTACTCTTCAAACAGAAATAACCAATGAAATGTGGAGAACAACACAGTAATAGAAATTTAATCATCTGAGATGACAGCAGTAACTCAAGGAACTAAAGGGTCATTTAATTTTTTCTTGTAGCAGACTTTTAAGGTTAAGTTGTAATTTCACGTTAGCATAAGACTAAGAAATGAATAATATTAAAGTACTATTTTTTCAATATTCACTTTGAACTTTGGGTTGATTAACTTGCCGCACACAATTTCTAAATTTAACTGTTGTTATGAAATTTCAATAAATTAGAATTCACATGGACTAAAATAACCTTGACAATAAGAGCAAGACTTAAAATCTAGGCCATTTGTTTCTAATCACTTTTTTTGGAAACATGGAGTGAACCGGACTATTTCTCTTTCCAGTTTGCTATGAATGCATGCTTGCATACTTCAAAACAAATGCAGTGCTTGGTTTTTTATTTTTTTCATAAGATTTAAAACAGCAAAACTCATCATTTGAGCCAACTTAATCTGGGAAATAATTTATTACAAACAGATGAGAACAAACTAACAGGATGTGGTTAAATTCAAGATCACAAAAAAGAGAACACAAAATGACTCATTTTATCTCAAATATTAAGCTACAAGCTAACTTTTTAGGAAGTGTAAGCAAGGATATTTTCGATCAAATAAATGGTATTTACCTGCATGCATACTAATATCATTTGCATCTACCTTGATAGATAATGTAACCGATCTCGAACATAATCAAAATAAATGAAAGAAGGATGAAAGTACAGTACCGTATGCATTGCCGATCTTATTTATACTTCCAAAAGTGGCAACAAATCCAAGACAAAAGACCAGTAGAAACCAGTTTACGACTGGAATATATATATGGCCCATGAACTTTCGGGAAGTGTGTATTATTTTAAGGCGAGGAAAACAGCCCAGGGCTGTTGCTTTCTTTATGCATGAAAAGGTTGCCGTTGTCATTGCCCTGCTTGCAATTAATGCAGCTATCATAGCCACAAAAAGTACTGGCCAGAAAACTCCACCTGCACACAACAATTACGAACTTTGTACCCGTCACCATGGAGTAACAACCATAAAGGTTCAGCAGCAAAATCAGTATTTTTAGTAGACACAATTACAAAAACTATACCACACTTATAAAGTCCCAAAAAAGAACATGATGCAATTGTTATTAGAGTATTAGTGACACAACCATGAGCAGCCAGAAAGATAAAAATAACAATAATAATAACATTAAGCTTTTATCCCATAATATAGGATCGGCTACATGAATCTTTTTTCTCTATTGTGTCAAAAACTATTTCATTTCTCGAGTAAAACTGAAGTAATAATTAGTAAATATATGAATTTGAATTATAAAGGACCCAACTCGAGCTATAGACTGGCTCACAACGGAGGTGGAATCAAAGATGGAAAATATGGAAATTGTAAGAAAGGCGGTTGAAGGCTGCACTAATGGTATTGGCTATTGGAGCGTAGGTAGAGACAGTGAGGTTGCAAGCAAGCAAGTGTATTGGGTTTGCGATCGAGCTAGCCATTGATAACAGAGAGCTGGAGGGTTGTAGGATCTTGAGAATATGTTTTTAGTTTACACTCATGTTAAATGAAATGAAATGTTCTATCATATCAAGGGAAGTAATTGAAAGTTGAGTAAATGAACTTGAATTCAAAGTAAAATTTAATTCCAAATTACATGTGGTAGCTAGCAAGTAGATAAATCACTTGATGGTCGACTAAATAAAATAGCTAGATTTAAATTTAAATTTAAACTTAGTGCTACCTACAGCATGATATTTTTATGAAATAGTGTCAATTCCAACAGGTGAACGACAAATTAAAATTTATAAAATTTAGATTTTAGTGATTTATATAATAGACTAAATACTAAAGAGGACGAAAGATGTATGCATAAGTTAACCGAGCAAAGAGATAGGAGAAATAAGGATTTAATTCAAATGAAGTGAATATGTATAGGAGTTGTTACAAGCATTCAAACACAAGGTGGTTTGACCAAGTATTTTCCTATCTCAATTGGATGATGTCAAGGATCAATTTTTGACATCAATTTTAAGCCCGTATCTTTTTGCTTTAGTCATGGATGTTCTTGCTAGACATTTGCAAGAGGATGTACCTTGGTATATGTTTTTTGCTTATGATATTCTTCTTGTTGATTGATGAAAAGAAAATTATAGAGATCAATATTAGAGTCTAAATGTTTTCATTTGAGTAGATCTAAAACAAAAAGCATAGAGTGTAATTTTCATAATAATAGATCAAGATGTGAGATTGTAACATTGGGTGATCAAGTCATTAAAAAAAGTGCACATCTTAGATATCTCGGATCTATTGTTAGAAGCGATGGTGAAATAGATAGTGATATTACTAGTGGAAGTGGATGGTTGAAGTGGAGGAATGCTTTGGCTCGTTATGTGATAGAAAAGTACCCTCAAACTTAAGGGAAAATTTTTTATGATGGTGGGGAGACCTATAATGCTTTATGGCATAGAATGTTCGCTATTAAAAGAGAAGCATAAAATTAAGTGTTGCAGAGATGAGAATACTCAGGTGGAAGAGTGGCTTTAAACTTAGATACACAATGCAAAACGAATATATGCGTGAAATGTTTGGAGCAGCTTCAGTGGCACATAAGATTAGAGAGAGTTGCCTTAGAATGGTTTGGTCAAATAAAATGTTAGCCTTTCGATGACCTTGCTAGGAGAGTAGATGTATTTGATCCAACTAATGCTAAGAAAAATAGAGATAGGCCTAATAAGACTTGATTAAAAATTATTATAAATGAACTTTTTAATTAAATTTAAATGATAATTTAACTCTTAACATGACAGAATGGGGAAAAAGAATTCATGTAACCAACCCCATGTAGTGAGATAATGGCTTGTTGTTGTTGTTATTATAGACTACCTAATCATGAGCACATGATTATGTAATAGACAAGATGATGAAAATATGCATGAGCTTTTCAGCTTACTCGGCATTGATGAAAAGAAAATCTGCTCATTCTGAGTAGGATTTTCCATGAGAAATGCAGCTTGGCCAAGGTAACCCAGCAACAGGCAGGGAAGAACCAGAAAAATGAAGGTCAACTGCACAAGTATATTAACATAATTGAAAAAAGAAAACACAAAAAAAATGGACTGTCCCATAAATTTCTTTAAAACTATACCTGAACGGATCTAACTGAGAAATAACAGAGGTCTGCAAACATGGCTTCAGAACCTGAGAAACAAGTAATCGTAGAAGTTAATAATATTCAGCCATGTTTATCATACATTCATAGATTGCATTAGCGTAAAAATGCTAGCGAAAGAAGAAAATAGCTTTACATGAAGTCGAAAAGGAAAAGGTAAATTGCTTACTCAATATAACAAATAAATGCTATATCAATTAGTGCTTAATTAAAACAATCTTTTCAATGATTTGGACATATGACCTACAGGATCAATCATGCTATAATTAACCATGTCTGATGCGGACATCGACCAGAAGATTTGGCGCATCTATCACAGGAGGCATCGTAAATCAACGGCTCTAATTTAAGTTGTCATTTATGAATTATTTTCTGCATTTTAGTTTCTATTTTATATTATTTCCTGTTTTACCCCTAGGTTAATTTATTTGAGTGTTGTAGCCCAATGGGCAATTTTGTAATTTTTTATTTTCTCATGTTGTGGCCTATATATATGGCCTTTAGCTATTGTAATAGGATGATTAATTGGAAATGAAAATTTTGTGTTTTCCACACTTGTGTTCTTCTTGAGAGAGGACGAGAGTGAGATTTCCATGAGAGAAATCGAGAGTTTCACCAGCCATAGGATGTGTCCGGGCTCGTGACGTGAAGTCCCTTGGAGAAGGGCAAACGAATCACCCGTCAGTCTTCGGAAGAGTCAAAGGCTCGCGGTTTCTATCATTTTTATTTTCTATCGTTTGTTTCTATCTTTCGTTTTGTTTTTGTTTTGTTTATTTTATTGCTCCCCGTAGTCGTATTCATCTTGTCATCTTTCCTCCTCCCCACTCAACCCCTTGGCCAAACCTCCATACCAAGCTCCACAAATTTTTCCCCATAGCCGTCGGCCACCTTCACCCGAAGATCCACCACCAACCGTCGGCCATGGCTCCCTAGCCGCCGGCCTCATCCTTTCCCCTCTTTCCTTGGATCTCCTAATTAGGGGTGCAGGATATTAGGAATTAATTTGAAATTCAAATTGTTTAAAATTTGAAATTCATATTTCTTTCCTAATTTAGTCCACCTATTTTAGGAAAGGAATTAATTTAAATCCATTTGAATTTCAAATTCAAATTGGATTTATTTTATTACTTCCCTAATTCCTAAATTCAAACCAATGAGCATTAATCCTACACGTTAATTTCCCCTTGATTCATGCAAGCAGCCGGCCCCCCTGGACTTAATTGAAATTTATTTCTAATTCATATCCCTCCCCCTTTGGAAATATTTCCTAACTCCCATGCCCTGGCCGAATTTTCTAAAGCCAGATTTCCTAATTTTTATTCCTAAGATAAACTCACTGGTTTAGGAAATAAAGCTTTCCCAAATCCATCAATATCCCGCTGGCCTTGCTCTCCCTCACCGCCTCACTTCCCTCCCTCTCATAACTTCCTTCCTATGCTATTACAGGAGTTGATTGGGAGCTTTAAATTCTCCCCCCAAGCCATTAATTCCTAAGCTTAGGGGTCCGAATTTTCCAAGCAGCTTTTGGAAACAAAATAGCTGAATAAAAAAATCTGAACTGTAAGGAATTAAATCCCGGTTTCCTGGTTTTCTCTCTTACCCGATCACCTCTCCCTCTCAAATTCCCTCTCTCCCAATTCAATATCTTGCTGGAATGAAAGCTTGATTTCTCCTTCCAATCCCCCTTGCTCCTAAGCCTAGAACCTGAGATTTCTCTCAGATTTTGGCTCCAAATCTCTCAGGTTTTGAATAAAAACCTGAAGAAAATTTCAAGATTTCCTGAAGGAGTAAAGCCCTACCCGTTCTACATCAATGTCGTGTGAGTTATATTCTATACAAAAAAGGCCCAATTTAAAGTAAAGAACTAGTAAATTTGGACAGTCAAATATTAGCTGGCAGTTTAAATTTTTAGCCAATGAGAAGTTCCATTACAAGCTCACTATATGCAAGTAGTTTTATCGAATTTCAAATCATTCACTTACTTCAACTACTCATGATATGGATGTGGGAGCATCAACTCCGTTCCTTTGGGCTATTCAGGAGTGGGAGAATTTGTTGGATTCTATGAAAGAGGCTTTTTCATAGTTCATTTAGTATAAGGTAATTTAAGAAATCAAAATAACTTGGGAAGATGTTGGCATTGATAAAGATCAAATACAATTCATTGGGACCTTTTGCTTTCCCCAAGAAAATCCAAATATTCAAATCTCAGCTTTATCGTAATCAGAAATTTTGTCTCAGAAGCTTTCAAATATAAAATTTAAACATATTTTATTTATTTTGCAAGGAATCAAATCTTATACCACCAGTTCAGATGTGAAAACAATTCCAATGAATAAAGTTGGTCATTTGTTGATTGCCCTTGATCGCTGATAGCAAGGCTATGTTGAGATACATCTGAGCTCTGAAAATTCGCAATACTACCTTTGCCGAGAGAGTTTGAGTTTTTTGTTTATTTATCAATTTGTCAAAAGGCAGAATAGATTTGAAGATAAAATACTACCCAGATATTTGGACTTCATTTTACGAGGATTTTATGATTTTGATCCAATTTTTATATATGTGCAAGCCCCTTTGATTAATTATCCTTCTCGGTAACAAGAGAGAACTTTCAATTAAAGCTAGTTGTTAGAAACAAAATGCTTAGTAATATTATGTGGCAAATCACAAAGCTTGAATATACGCCATCTACATAACGGCCAATTGCACTGTAATATTATGTGTCCACCTAAAATAGTTGAGATGAGGTTTGTTAATTTTAAATAAGCTTAAATAAGCCAAACAACAATCTGCATGTCAGAACAAAATTTCATGCAAAGAAAAAATTTAGCTTGATTTGAGTGAAGTTCAGTGAATTTAGTCAAACTTTCATACCTGTTGCACTAAGTAGGCAACCTCCAAGTGCATTCCAAGCTTGAAAAGGATTTTTCTTAAAATAATGGTAGATGTAAAAAGGATTAAAGGCTCTGAAAGCCGTCATCCCATATTTAATAAGATTGAAAACCCCAATGCCTCCAAGACAACAGAACCATAAGAACAGGGCAGGACCAACAGCAAGCCCCATTTTGCTTGTTCCAAACTTCTGTACACTAAATAATACTATAAGAAATGCAACTGTAATCATCACCACTTCACCTGAACAAAATAAAGAAACAAATAATAGATGAAAGGAAGTTCGATAAATCCATGGTTTCGCATGTGGAAAAAACATTAAAAATGATTGAAAGTAGTAATTTATCAAAACTTGACCTAAATATTTCTTTCATTTGCTAACCAAAAAGGTGGGATTTTGATAACAAAACAAGTACGTGCTGTTTTCCTTCTTCCCAATAAATTGAAGTGACTGAATGCATATAAAAAACAGACATATTTCTCAAATCTTCAATATTCAAAATGTTATCCAGTAAGAATATTCTATAGATTAAGTATTATTATATGTACTAACAACACTCACTAAATTGTACTGCGCTAATAGACCTCTGCGATATGGAGACCAGCAAACACATCAAATAACTTGTCAAAAACTATTACAAGCATCATTGCGTCAATGAAGAATATGAAAAAGCACATGATTAATTAGAGTGAAGATTCTATATTTCATTTAAATTTTATATTTTATAATTAATATTTTATAAATACATTTGGTTCAAGGCCCAGGGGTAATTTTACTTTAAAATATGAATGTCATCTAATATGTACTATCCATATATTGTCCAAAAAGAAATAGACGAAGGCAGTAATATTTTTCTATGAATAATTGATATGCTCCAATACAATTCTAGAGCTCTACTTACTAATGAGAAAGTCTGTGGTGATAATATTTCTAGTTTTTTATGTCAAAAAACAATTACAAGGTCTAATATACAAGTGAAGGATGGACGTATGGAGGATTCCAATAGTCTATTTTAGGAACCTAAATTAAAGCAAATAATAGGAAACTTTAATGAAATATCTCAGAGAATAAGAAAATAAAAGTCAATACTGCTACATCAAAGGAATAGGAAAATATTGTATTATTCATTATGTTATTGCATCTGAATGGCATATTAACTATAAGGGCTGACAGGAATAGTAAAACACTGTATATTCATAACGTTATTGCATGTGAATGGCATGTAAATTGTAATGGATGACATTCAAAGATCAATACCTTGAACAGACATTAATCAAACGAGACTAATATAAAAGATCTAGGGGAAGCCCAAAATATTCTAAAGATGATACCGAACAATAAAAATGCCACATATTTTAGGCCTTTTACAATCACAATATATTGAAAAGCTATTGGACATGTTCAATATGACAGTCCAGGACTCCAAGTACGATGCTCGCTACCCATTTAGATTGATTAAAGAAACAAATGTCATAAAAGGAAAAGGAGCACATGGCCAAAGTCCCCTATGCTTCAATTGTTGGATCAGTCATTAAATTAAGCAATGATGTACACTAGACCAAGTTTTGCACAAGAAATGGGAGTCATCATATAACCAAGAAGTACTACGGAGTACATTGATTGAGATCTATGCAGAAACCTAGACACAAGGAGTACTACGGATGACATCTATAAACTAGATTTGCATAGCATATAGTTGGGTGTTACTATTACATAAGATAGTTGTATTATCAATCTATCACGAAACCCAGTAAAAATATGGTTTGGCTCAGAAGCTTTCTGGAAGAACTAAATAGATTACAAGGAGGTCCTAAACTCTTTTGTAACAACCAAAATGTCATTCACTGAGCAAAGAATGTCCTCTCCACTATCTTAAAAAGCACATAAAACTTAAGTACCACTATAAACACAATTTGCTCAAAGGAAATGCCCTACAGCTTGTCAAGTTCAAGGGGCAGAAAACTTCACTAATATTCTCACAAATGTAATGCAAACAGAAATGTTGAGGCCATATGAAGCCTCAATTAACCTCTTTGAATGATGATTTTGAGATGTAGCACAGAGAGGTATTTTAAAATTGACCACTAAGCAGGTAAATAAAGAAATTTGATCTCTAATTCTACTAAAGAATACCACACACACACACACACCCCCCCAAAAAAAAATAATAATAATAATAATAACTATAAGATATAATTGAGATTTCCTATTAATTTCAAATATAGGTTGGCATTTGTAAATATATGATTAAATTCTTCTATGGGTTATGAGATATTTTTTTTAATGCAAAATAGTATAACCCAATAATGAAACGAGTACACAAGCGGCAATTACAATGAATTTTCAAATTCAAAATGTAAAAATAAAGAAGACAATAATGGGTAACCATGTGATAGATCATTAAATATCTATTTGATAGACAAAGAGATCAATGATAAGCACTCATTTAGCCTAGTGAATATTTGAGGGTGACAATTTTTTTCTTATTTCATCCCCCTTCTAAAAAAGAGGATTGGAAACCTCTTAGCCACTTGGATTCAATACTTGAAAGGCTAATGTTTGAACCAAAAGGCTACTTAGACTCGATTGCATCAATATCCTTGACAATAGTAATGAGAACACGGGCTAACTCCACTGGAGAATTTTAATAAAAATTGTAAAAACTTGAAAGATCTTTTTATTAATTTTATGATATCAAGTCATTATATTATCACTATAAATAGAACCTTAGAATGAAGGTCTTGGCATCCCTTTACAATAAACAAGAAAAAGAAAATATAGAGAGCGAAGGAAAGGGGCTTTCATCCGAGAAGGAAAGGGAAAAGAAGTTTTTCGAATATTTGTACAAGAATCTTTAGGCTCTTCAAGAGGGAAAAGGTACTAATATTTGTTATTCTAGTAATATGAAAGTATCACAGTCATAAACACACATTTAGATGTTGTCCAATGAGTTATAAATAGGCAAAGCATAAGCTGATAGAGTTTGTTAACTACAAAGGAAATGTCAGGACATGTGAAGGTAATATTTTGGAGTGCAACATAACTTGACTATATTGATAGACATCGAAGAGAAGAGTGATCAACATAGATGTGGGCATTGGGGTAGATAAAATGTTGGCAACCTACATGTGATGTTCAAAAGGTAGATTATGAATATACTTCTGCTAAGATAAGAGGTTACCATGCTTTAAGGGTGGGACTTCAATTCTTACGAAATAATGAAAATTCCTAAGATCTTGATGAAAAATAAATCATTCAAAGCTCTAATAATAATAATTTCTAATAAGAATAATAATACCAACATAGATAAAGATGAAGAGGATGGTGTATTGTTTCCGATAAGTAAAATAACAAAGGATCCAGCTTGGATACCACAAATCCAAATTGAAGAAAGGTGTAAAGTATATTATGTCATACTCAAAGAGCATCAAGAAGACGATAGATAGCATCATGCAACTTACACAAATGTTGATAAAATTATGGGTGAATGAAACAAGGTGATCATCGATTGAATATAAAATCATCTAATATCCCTTATAGATATGCATTATTTACATTTAATTGATAGAGAGGCTAGTTGCAACCGACAACAATATACAGGATGATACTTACGGTTTTAATTTTACAATAAAGACGGAAATTGAATGAAAATCAACACCTAGGTGTTGTGGAAAACCTTTGATTTGAGCCATATTTGTCAACAGAGACATTGACGTTTCTGCTTGATCTTGAAAATCCACTAGTAATCAATAATGTTTTGTTGATTGATGATAGGCAGCATGCCTAAGTATTGTCGGGAACACGTGCTCAAATTCCTCAAACATGTCTTATCTCCATATACCTAATTAAATTTCAGTGTTTTTAAGTAATAACATTAGTTCCAAATCCAAAGGATGTTTTGGTGGTCACAAGGTAATCAAATATTTGTTTGGATTTGCAAGTTGAAACCTAATATGACTAGGTCAAAGAGTTTGTGTGAATGTATAAGTGGAGAGGTGGAAGGTGAGGAGTCACTGATTATGGTGGATATGGGAGAATCTAGTTATGATGTAAAGTTAGAGACAATAATGGGAGATGTGAGGGAGAATTTGTAGGCTAGATTGATTGATGAAGTTTTACACAAAAGAGCAATAGAATAAAAAAAAAATAGAATGGGTGTCGAGTTAGAATTCAATTTCAACAAACACTACATTTTGATAATGTAACCATTAGAGGTGGAAGGATCATAATGTTGCAAGATGGAGTAAATGAGAAAAGACAAAGTTAGAACATGGGCTCAAGTTTCTTGTGTGCAAAAGTTTTTAATCAAGAATGACATAGGCAGCCAAAACTGTGAGTTTAAAGTCATTTGGCCAATTGTTAAGGAGGGTTTTTAAGAGAGAATTGTTTTGATTAATAGTAAACATGCGAGTAATAAAAAACATTGTTGTTTGACAATCATGAGTCTAGAATTGTAGTAGTGCCTCCTCATTATAAAAAAGAGTGAGGGTTGTTTCCATAATAGAATGATGACATCTTCAGCCAAGCCAACAAGTTGGGATGTATAAGGATTGAATGTGTTAAATAACATATTTTCATAGTACATAATGAAGATCTTTATATTATACACTGCCATCTAAGTAGCTTACGCAGATGGAGGTATCGAAGTACTTTCAACAAGATCATTTAATCGTTCAAAAATATTTGTTACATTGGATTTGTGTTTCGAGGGACGAGCCGTATATATTTGCCTATTTGGCATAGCGATCAATAAAGACAGCATATAATTGGAAGTGATCATAAGAGCTGGTTGGAAATTTTAGTATTTTTGAGCTTGTTAGAATAGAAAACCCAAATCGAAGATGGTGACTTCTATTACAAAAGCAAGCATTACATGGATCAATAAAAAGATTTATTTTTGACGTTTGACGTAAAGAGAATTTCGGTGGATAATAGATGAGATGCCATTGTCATTTTGGAGCAATGGTGGCTAGTAGTGATTGTGGAGAGGAAGATGGCCACAGGTTTCCACTATTCTAATCAGAGCAGTGTTGTGTTTGCAAAGCCTTCACAATAAAATGAGAAAAAAAAAATACAATGGGTATTTTGTTGTGTTTACAAAATTGAGATGGAGATAGTAATTTTTTATGAAGTGCAAGAGCACACAACATGCCATTAAATGAAAGAAGATTTAGAAGAATGAAGAGTAGTGGTGCCAAGGTATGTGATTGAAATATTTCCATCATCACTAACAATAAAGTCCTCAAGACCATTGTATTATGACATTATTGAGATATTTTGAGAGTTGAATGTCATGTGGTGTGAGGTTGTAAAGCCAAATACACAAGTGCCATTGTTGTATAGTAGAATTCGTCTACTGATATGCCTGAGTATGAACAGAAGGTGTTGTCTTGGAGCAAAAAATAATTGTGATATGCCTAAATTTGTCACAAAGTTGACATAGAACTCAATTGCAATTAGTATTGGAAGAAGTTCACCAATTTCTTTTGTTCTGAGATCAGCAAGGATGATAATTACCAACAAGTCTTCTTTACAGATTTCGGTACTAAAAATTACTATGTAGACCCTTTTTGTTATAGTTAGGATGTCTACATTCTTGCTGGATCCCTTTGGATCAAATTGAAGATTAAATCACATCACACAAACATACTTTACATTGTTTATCCTAGGATTTGGATAACCTCATGATGGAGAGCAAGGCATGTCAAGATGAGTTGTTGATTCAAATAAAATAAGTTTCTCATATAAAGGATAAGAAAATAATAGGCACTTTATAGAGCCCCATATTTAAAGAATTAAAAAATTAAAAAGAAAAAATTGCGATTAAAAGAATTCCCAACTTCTGGTTTGCAAGAAGTATTTCATCAATTGAACATACTGAAGTAATAAAGTTTGTTGTAATAATAAATCACATTCATATACTATCATTCACAAAACAATAAATAGCAAACCTTTGAACATGTTTTCTTCTCTTAAAATAATGAGAAAACCAATTTAAATAAAAAGGACACCGAAAAGTACAAAGCATGTTTCCAAAACTTTCAGGATACGTTTAGTGATACTTTAGTTCCCTTGAATAACCCATTTGTCAATCAACAAATGAATTCATTGTCTTACAAAATAAAAGTATGGAATAACTAATTAAACTCCTCTATATGTTGCAATAGATATTTACTAAGCCGCATCAAAACTAGTTGAGAAACTAAATAACATTCATCATATTCAACATTATCTGATTTGTGAAAAAAGAAATCCAATATGTAAATCATCATTCAACATGTTCAACATTATCTGATTTGCCAAAAAAGAAATTCAATATGTAAATCATATATTTCAGCAAAAAACCAAGGACTACACATTAAAAGTAAAATAAAAAGAAAATCACCTTGTTCAACACTGGCAATTCCAACCTTGAGTCCATTCACAGCTGACATGACTGCATATCAAATACAAGAAAAGTTAAGCTCATAAAAATAAATTAAAAGACAGGTAGCCTTAGAATAGGCTCTTTCACTTCTTCTTATTTGAAAAAAAATAGATCAGTCTAAGCAACGGTGGAACTAGACAGGAGATGGTGTGGCTCTTGCTCTCCCTATATTAAAAAAAAAAAATCCCCTGTAACTAGAAATAATATTAGAATAAGTTCTTCCACTTCTTATTTGAAATCCTAATCCTATCAGTAAACCTAAGTATCACCTCCTCAAAAACATCAATAGAAAAATTCAAAAACATAAACAAACCTGACATCGCTGGCGTGACAACACCGCCAGCTATCACCATGGCAGTACCAAACAGCACCAAGATTAAAAGCAGTTTTTTAAGTATTGCAGAGGTTTCAAGATGCTCCTTGAGTTTTAAAGACCTCTCCAACTCAGCTGATGGAACTTTCAATCTGAAACTTGAAATGCGAGCATCAGAAGGCAATTGGTTTGGAAGAAGACTGGCTTTTGCATTTCTGCATATCAAGGAATACAGAGCAAATGTCCCCCCTGCAAATAGCAGTTTAATAAAACTATGATTCTTGATTTAAGATTCAAGAATACTAGAGACAGCAACCTTCTTATATCCTTAACCATACCTTCTCCATCATCATTACCCCAGAGCACTATCAACGTGTACTTCACCAGTGGAATAATGATCAAAGTGTATAGAACAAGAGAGAGTGCTCCAAGAACATCTTCCTTCTCAGAAATTGGATATTTATTAAACATGATATCAAAAGTATAGAGCGGACTAGTTCCAACATCCCCAAATACCACTCCAAGAGTCTGAAGAACCAGTATAAGGCTCCCACCCAAATTAAAGTCCTGAAATTTATTGTAATAAGTTTGAGAAAGAAGACATCTCGTATTTTATTGTCTTCTAGGATCAAAACAATGTAAAAGCCGCAAGTTCTGTCAAAATACCGAAAGATTTTTCATTTACATTGAAGTATCTAGAAACATGTATTAGGGAGAAAAAAGAAGAAGAGGAAAAGGAATGCTAATACATAAGCTCATCAGTGAGACTAGTATCAGTTCGACATGCTATTTTCCCGCTACAAACTCCTTACAATGATGGTCAATACATAACAAAAATAAAATAAAAATAAAAAATTCAGACATAATATGATAAGGGAACTTGTTTACCTACCTCGTAATCATGCCTCTGGACTCCAGGAACCTCAAGCGCCTCGACATCAAAGGAATCAATCCTAGGGCCGGTCCTGATCAGCCTTTGCTCACCATTATCCTCTTCCTCGGACTCATAGCTGTTTCGTACTCCACCGTCCTCGGAATCGTCCTCCTCCTGAAAAACCCATCTAGATTCGGTCGAATCCATCTTCACCAAACCACCATTCGACCTATCCGAACCCTCCGCCATTAGATTCTGTTTCACAAGGATCCCCAAAATCGTCTTTAAACCACCGCAATCCCCATCCTTGAGAGAAGTTCCATGAAACCAACAAGTTCAAACATCACACAATCAATAACACAAACCCTGAAATCCAGAGCAGAAAAATGAGACCGAGTGATTTTTCGATTCGATCAGCTTCGGATTCGAGCAAAACTGATGGAATCAAATTACATGGTGCAGCACAAAATGGCGCTGAAGGAAGTACGGGAATGTAAATGGAAGAGATAATTGAGTAGGGATAACGCTTGAATTTGATGAAATCAGAATTTTCTGGCGAGAAAAACGTTTGTGAGCTTCAGAGAAAGAGGGTTTTCTACTTTTCTGATCAAAATATTACAAGCAAAAAAGATTAAAAACAAAATAAAATAAAACAGAAAAGAATTTGATGCTTCAATCTCTCTTCAACGCTTCGACAGAGAAATTCTGGAGATTGATGGGGGAAGACATAGGCCGTAAAAGTTTCTAACTTGCCGACGCATAGGTTTTAAGGAATAAAAAAAAGGGTAGTTACATACACAACCAAAAATTCAAAATTATCTAGTTTATACGTCCAAAACATAAATCTTATTTTCCTATTATTGGCATTGACACGATCCGAATTAGACACGGAAATTATGGATTAGGATCAATTCGGACTCGAAACGGGTTGGGTTTGGGTTCAATGAATTGACCTGTTTCAAAAATCGGGTCGGATTTAGATTGAACCAGCAACGAAGAAATCCGAAATTGACCCGAAAATCCTAAATTGACCCTTTTCTAACTCCAAAATCGGATATTGACCCATTTTTTACCCGAAAAGTAGCAATTTTTTGTCCTTCCCGGGTCATTTAGGTTGTGTAGTGTTGACCCTGACTTGAAACCGGTCCGATTCGGGTTAACCCGAATATTGTCGTGTTAGTTCCGGATTCGACCGAAACCCCACCCATGACCTGAAATTGACACTCCTACTCCTAATACATACATTTTTTTTTGGAATGGGGGTATCAATCGACTACCACTACAAAGAGAGCGCTTAGTGGCGTAACTAATCCCTCGACGGAACCTAGCGAGACCACTCACCGGCATCAGACCCACACTTGCTTTGCCCCCATTGAAGAGGCGAGGCAGTAGTAGTGGAGATTCGAACCCGGGATGGGGGTTCCCAACCGTGCTCGCCCACCAACCACTCTAAGCCTCGGTGGGTAATAATACTTTTTTAAATAACAAAAAAATATCATTATCTTCTCATTAACTTCCACACCATCTTTCCGGCATCATGATTTTCTCAACTCTTCTTTATCATCAAGGGTTTAAAGATACTTTCAATAAATTTGACAATAATTTAGAAAATTTTGAAAACATTTATAGATATTGTACATTGAATATTTGAGATAATAGAAGGAGAATTTATTGTCTTAGTATTATATGACATGTTAGCACAAGATATAAATTGAAAATAACAAATAATAACTATAAAATTTTTATGTGGAAGGCTTGAGAGCATTAAAAAAAAATCAAAAGGCTTAATTAAGCTGAAATGATTTAGTTTGTGAGAGTCAATGGTTGTAAAGTGCTCAATTTCTCATAAATGAGGAATTTATTAATATAATGTAATATAGATACAAATATCTCATATGATGAGTGTTGAAGCCTTTTTTATGTTTAAGTTATCATCTCATAATGATGTGCAACCATCTTACTCATTCTCTTTATAGTATGGGAGATCGAGCAATCAATAAGACATGCATTAGATATTAGTTGCTGAAAAATATCAAAAGTTTGTGGTCGTCAAGCAATAGGGGACCAATGTTACAAGACGATCAATGTTGGAAGTTGGTTAGTGATCGTTGATCGACTCGATTACTTTCTAGGTATATGGGGAGATCAAGCGATCAAGAAGATAGTCATTAAACATCTATGGCTGACAGACATCAATCATAGGTCATTAATAAGTGTTATATAATTATTGATAATAAAAGGTTAAGGTCACGCAATGCCACCTTATTGGCTTGGCACTCTTCTTGTAGAACAAGAGATTGATCAACTAAAAAAGATGATTATCGTAAATTAGTTTGTGGTAGGTATCCAATAATGATTAATGAGAAATGTCAAAGTCATGTGACATCAGATGGTTGACTAGAATGCTCTCATTAAAGTCTGGGAGGTCAAGTGATTGAGAAAACTGACATAAGATGTTAGTGGATGACATTCATTGAATGTCAGTCATTAGTTTATGTCAAGTGATGTTCAACATGGAATGCCAATGGTTGGGTGATTATTGGAAATCTAGTTGATCATTCTACAAATATGAATGGTGAACGAGTAATAAAAAGTAGTATCAAATGTCGACATTTGTTGTTAGGTCATAGTCAAATTGTAATGTCATGGGATAGCTAATGGTCTGTAGTTAGCTCAATTATTTATTCTAATAAAAGGGTATATTAAGCAATCAAAGACGATTATCAAATATCAGTGCTAGACAGATGACAGGGTGTCGATCGTTAATAAGCCTTAGATGATGATTGATAGAAATATTAAAAGTTGAGTGATGTTTGGTGGTTATCTTAATTTGTTTCTTGATAAGAAGAGAGATAAGGTGACTAAGAAGGAGAATACATTGGTTGACGGGCACCGATTGATATTTATTGGCAAGCATAGAACAATGTTTATTTAGAAAAAATTGGATGATGATAGAGGTTGGCATTAGTTTATGACCTAGGTTAATTAGTGGTAATGATGGAATCAATGTTTGTTGATAACAAACATCAATTGATGACAACAACATGCATCAATGTTGATTGTTGATTGACATTTGATAATGATCAACATAGCTCTAGAAATCTCTACATCCTCTAATTCTATCGACTAAAAAGTTTTTTTTTCCTTAAGTGTATATAAATATGACATATTGTAGATTAATAAAGAGGATATTATGATCATTTTCTCCTAAAATATGGACACTCTATACAATAGTCAATAAAGAAACCTTTTGATTATTTAATGAAAACACATTGATCTCTTAATTATTCCATAATTGAGAGATCTTAAATTTATTAGATTTTTCTTATTGATATCGATATTTTGAGTATACCACAAAAAATGAAGGATATTTGAACTAAATATATTTTTAATTATGCTACATAAGTGCCTGATTTAGATGCACTAAATTTTTGTTTAAATATGTTGGGTAGAGTTAGATGATCTCAGAATCAATTCTAAAGTTGTTAGACCAAATATTCATGTGTTATGAGATAACTTCACTAGAAATTAGATTTTTTTTTATTTAACTATTTGAATATTGATTATTGAGTTAGTCTTGAACTTTAAAAACCAATTTAAAAGATAACTGAAATTACAATCCTAAAATCATAGATGTGACAAAAAATTAAAGTACTAGAGTGAAATAATATACTTAAAGAAAAAAGATAAGTTGCATATAGAATTTTCCTCTTTCGTGTATCCCTTTAAAAGTCAAAGCATTTAAACTACCAAATAAACAATGTAGGAGGAATCAACAAATATGATGACCAATCAAATATGAAATATTGGAAGGTTTAATCTCTAACCCTAAGTGACATCATAGGCTCAAAGCACACCGCATTATGCATGCTCCGTTTCTGAGCCCAAAGAAGGAAGTGTTGAGGCTAGAGTTTATAGGGTTTTGGCCATTTCCATTGAGAATGAAATTGGCGGGTGGGGAGGGAGAACACATATTAGTAGGATATTTGGAAGAGCGCTTCAAACCCATAACGGATTCATTGAAGGTTTATTCTTGAGTGCTTATGTGTCACTATTTGATATTTCTAGTTGATATTTAATTGCATGTCTTCCAAAATTAATTGAAAGCCTTTTCCCTTAGCGATGAGGCGGCCTAATGTTAAGGTTGAATCAATTTAGTTACAACCTATGAGCATGCAAGTTATTTCTTAGTGTAAATATCAAGAGGTGCTTTGAAAATTGGAGCATGTTATGCTCGGAGGATGTTGATCTTTTACTTCTTTAGTTTATGGTAGTTTTGACTTTCAGTCATAATAGATTTTCGGGTTAAGCCTATAATAATATAATAACATATTCTTCTTCTTCGAGTTCATCAGTTCATTTTCGTAGTTGGTGGCTACTCTTCCTTTTAGTCACTAACATAGAAAATTTGATGTTTCCATCATCATCTCTAATTTTATAGTGTCAAAAGCAAAGCTCTATGTAGACTACATGGTTTTATGGCTTATGCTAAATATGGCTCTCCTGCTTTGTGTGGAAGAAGTGCATATCTCAGAAGAACAATAAAGAGATTTTATAAATTTGAAATTTGAAAAGGAAATAATAAATGAATTAAATTTTAATTCAAATAATTTAACACTATATATTTAAGATATATAAAAAAATTCTATTTGAATTTAAATTACAACAAATATAGAGTTTTAGTGATAGAATTCTAATAAAAATTCAATAAATATGAATTTTAAAATTTCATTTTAAAATTCAAGAATTTCCATGGAGTCTTATGAAAAAGTTAATAGAAAATTTTCAGCATGAAAAAATTTTTAATTGTAATATTCTGATTAAATTTTAATTAAAATAATCTCAATATTGATTTTGAGATATGTGCAATCATTTTAAGCTTTGTTTGAAATGACTTCCTTGCTCTTTCTAAATTAGCATTTTAATAAAAAATTTCTAATTCAAATAGTTATTATATTAAAAAGTTGCTTAAAAAATAATTAATAAAAAATCTATCACAAATAAAGTCTTTATAAACTTTTAAATTTAATAAATTTGAGATCCATTCTTATTAAATTTAAGTAATAATATCCTAACTAATTTTTTCCCACTTGCAAAAACTAAAAATCAATAGCCAAAAAATTCTCCAAAACATTTCCATCCATTCATTTCCAATGAAACACCACCACTAAAGAAAAAGAAAAGAAATAAAAAAAGCAATGTTCTTCATGATAAGAAAAGTAAAAATCCATAAAATAACAATTATTTTGCACAAAAATTTAAAAAAGGTTCTATGATATTATTTAAAAAATAATTCCAAATATTGTGACAACTTGCCCTTTAATATAGCAAATGGTCAATTCAAGAAACATCTCCATCAAATATAAATTTAGTAGGGAATAACTAGATTATGCCCTATTAATGAAGCTTTAAACAACCACCACAAAAAATAAAAAATAACAAGGTCATGATATTCATATAAAAAATTTGATTTTGATGAATTCCAAATTTATTAAATTTATTTTGATATAAATATAATATAAATTTTGATTTTATGCATTATAGAAAAAAAATGGTATTTCCGGCAAACAAAAGCCATCGAAAATTAACGTTATTTGTTGGAAATATTGACTTTCAAGTGGACTTCCTATGGAAAATGGGTCGACGATAAAAAGCGAGTCGGAAACATGTTTCTGATGGAAATAAGATCATCATAAATAGTTATGGCGAATTTACCGACGGTTTTCCGGCAAAAACATAGTCTTAAAAAAGATGATTTCATATTATTGTTTTTGGCAGGATTTTCGCCGGTTATTTCCGCTGAGATAACCGACGGGTATCATGCTGAAACTTCCAGCGAAAAAATATTATTGGAAACGTTGCAACAATTTGTCGTATAGTAGTTACCGACAGATAATTCGTCGAAAATCAGCTAAAAACATGTACCAGAAACAAACAAAAAACAGTAATCCCTCTTAAATATTCTACATCACAACAATCCTGCAATGCATGCATATATCATATGCATATGTCAACTACATTTCAAACAAAAAATACTAGTGCTATAAGTAATAAGACGTGATCACAAAAAACATATTCTGCATACCAAATAGTTATAATATAAACATCAAATTCATTACACAATAAAAACAAACCATTAAATGTACATATACATAATAATAAAATATCCAGTAAGAACAAAAAAAATCGAATTAGAATTTGTTTTGTCATTCTCCTCCTTTGTCGATACCAGCAACTTTCTACTGAACTGCTCCCTCATTCTCTGCAACTACTCTAATATTTGATTTTGTGGCATCTATATCTACATTTGCAAGTCAGCTTGTGATTTTCAGGCTTGATCTAACCACTTGTTGGCTGTACAAGGTATCATGGTTTCCTGCTGAGAACTTGGAGCCACCAGAGGTCTGCCCCTCATATGCAACATGAATCATTTTTCTCCATTATGTCATGTTAAGAGTCAAACTCTCATAATCGGGTCATCAGAAGACAGATATTTTATGTGACCAAACCATCTAAGATGACTCTTTCTAATCCTAACTATCAATTGAGCTAGTTTAAACTTTTAATGTATATGCACTGTTCTTATTCTATCACTAAAAGTAAACCCACTCAACCACATGATCATCTTCATCTTAGCTATACTTAAATTAATTGTATGCTTTTGTTTTAATGGCCAACATTCTACGCCATAAAGCAATACATGTCCTACAATTATTTTATCCCTTAAGTTTGAGGGGTACATTTCTATCATAAATTAAAACTGCAAAAAGCTTACCAAGCTACCATAGAATAGCATACAAGATGGCGGATGACTACACGTTGAGGCGGCGGACAGCTATAGCATGACGAGGCGGTGAACGGCGTGAATGACGACGACAAACCATGGGCAACGACTCATGCGAACGAGAGCGATGAACATGCAGGTAAAAATTATGAGCAAACGACTAAAAATGGGGCTTACTCCGGCAGAATCTATGGTGGCTTGTCATCTAAAAATATTTCCGGTGACTATTCCGCCGAAAAAAAGTTGTCGGTTTAAGTAAGCTTGTGGATATTCCGCCGTAATATTTTCGACTCAATTTTCGCCATTAAATTTTGTTGGCTTAAAATAATCGGCCGACCCAACTGATAGGCCACAGGAAAATTGCCAACAGTATATCAGCCAGAAAAACCATTCTGATTAAAACACAATTTTTAATTCATATTACAATTACCTCAAAATAAATTTAATAATTTTAAAACCATTCTGATTAAAGCACAATTTTTTATTCATATCATATTGCTTTCTAATATTAAAAATTGTTGTATGACTTCTTACCCCCATCACACTCAAACAGAGCTACATTTTCATCACATAAATTTGTAAAAATTAATAAAAAAATTATAGTCAACTAAAAATATGACAAAAATATTTAAAAAATTATCCCAAAAGTACAATAAAGAACAACCCAAATGACAAAAAAGTATATAACATTGGCAAATCCATACAGTACTACAATGGCACACAAGCCTTGTTCAAAAGAAAGGATGATCGCATGATCATACCAGAATTACCAGAAACCTCTTCTCCTCCTATGAAGGAGAGAACTGAAGTGAAAGGGGAACTCACCATACCAATCAAGAACCATAGCATCTGAGAGCCTATTCACTACACTATACAACCTTCCATCAAAACTTAGAAGCCAATCTACCCCCAACATAGAAGGATCAAGCAAGAATAATGAAGAACCAGTACTTAGAACCTACCAAGTACCATCTCATCTTAGTGCATTGATGAAAGCAAGCAGAGAATCGACATCACGGCTCTCTGAAGGATATTTGATTGGCCTTGAGGCATGGTTGGGGAAGAAGAGGATGGTGGGGAAGCTGCCAAGCTGAAGTTCCTGCTTGGCAAAAGGTTTCTGTTCCCCATCAGCACGGAATTTCCCAACCTTGACACCTGAACCATGGAGCTTCTCAGCTAGTTCAACGTAGGAAGATTCCATAGCCTGGCAGAACTGGCACCAGGGGGCATAGAGGACAACTAGCCATGGCTCCTTCCTGTTCTCCAACTTGAGCAAGTTCTCAATTCCAGGCCTGGTAAGGTTAACAATGGCTTGGGTGCTGAAAATATCAGATATGTTGCTTACACCATTGACAGTAACAGCTCCTTTTCCATTAGCAGCATGGTTTTGTGAATTTTCTTGAGAAATGTTGCCTTTGTGAAGGCCACATTCTTTTGCCTTTGCATCCTCCCACCACCACCTTCCTTCCCTCTCGTGCTGACCCGGCAATACTGGTCTCGTGCATGGCTCGCAGCCTATGGACACATAACCCTGTCATCATTTATAGAAGATGAGTATGGTGTAACTTGTAAGTACTTATTGCATAGGAATTTTCCTCAAAGAGTTTCTTCACAGTTTCATTACCTGAGAATGGAGAGAGTTAACGGGAACATCCATGGTTCTGAGAAAGTTCCAGATGTCCTTTCCATCCACATTTGCTACTGGATTCCACTTTATTAAGCTACCTGCACCACCATCCAATCCTTCAAATGAAGGATCAACCTGCAAGAAACATTCACAAGCTCAGGTAAGACTCTTATTTGACCAGTTTAAGACAATTGGAATGCATTCTTTTGACATTCCATTAGTGTTTAGGGTGAGCATATCTAAAAAATTGAAGGGAATACAAATACATTCTACTTATTATTAACTCATTTTCTCCTCAAACAAGCAAGTGGCTGAAAACAAATTTCAATTCGATTCCTTTAACTTGCGAACGATAATACTGAATAGAAAATAGTTCACATAATCAAGACGAGCAAAGAAATGGATGAAAGTGAACATAATCATACAACAACAACATCAAGTCTTTGTCCCACTACATGGGATCGGCTACATGAATCCTTTTTCGCCATTGTGTTATGTTAAAAGTCAAATTCTCATTTAAATCTAATAAAGAAATATCATTTCTAATATTTTCTAACCAAGTCTTTTTAGATCTACCTCTACCTTTCTTAACATAAGTCAAATCTAATACCTCAACTTTCCTAACCAGATCATCGGAAGGCCTCCATTTAATGTGACCAAACCATCTAAGGCGACTCTCTCTAATCTTATCTTTCACTGGAGCTACTCCAACCTTTTCACGTATATGCTCATTCCTTATCCTATCTATAAGGGTAAAGCCACGCATCCACCTAAGCATCCTCATGTCTGCAACACTTAACTTAGTATTATGCTTCTCTTTTAATGGCCAACATTAGGCACCATAAAGCATTGCACCATAATGGAAGAATAGTAGCATTAGTGGGTACCTGGACAACAGGGATGTTAGCTCTGGTGCCTGGTGACTGATCCTTTCTCTGCCCAGTAATCCAGGCTTTAAAACCTTTAAGAGCCCTTCTCAAAGGTCTAACCTTCCTCACCCTGCAACACTCCTGGTGTCCATCCTCATAGAAAGAGAATAATCCCTTGGTCCTCACAAGAGCCTGAACCTCGACTGAATCGGGGAACATATATTCGATATGAATACCATAGTGCTTCTCGACAACATCAAAGAACTGGTAGGTCTCAGGATTCAGCCTGCCGGTGTCGAGGCTGAAGACCCGGAAGGGCCGTCCGGTCAAATGAGCATACTCTATCAAAGCAACATCCTCTGCCCCACTGCAACAAGAGCAAGCAACGGTAACAAAACATGAAAAACCAAGCATTTCTTCTAAATTCATGTAAGAACTCAAAAAACACCAGTAACTAATGATTTAGATGATTACAGAGAATAATTGTCTAATTGACTCAAATTGAAATGGGACTGAAATCTGCATTTCCAATATTTGCTAAATCCTACTCGAGTTAAACCCAAGTAGCCAAACAACCTCTCAAGCAAAACATCTGCAATTACCAAGGAAATGAACTGTGTAGCAAAATTTACTTCAACAATGTACTTATAACATACAAAAGAGTTAATTTGCACGCAACAATATGTTAAAGAAGTGCATGACCAGATTTCTAGAAATCCATAAGTAAATTCAATCAGTGATAACAACTTTCACTTCCCTGAAACCCTCTTATTTTCACAGTAATTATTAGGTCATCAAGGCTGGCAAAATTACATTTTTAATCGCTAATTCAATGTGTTTCACATTATATTACCAGAAAAAAAGAACCACAAAAAAGGTGCTAATTGCATTTTACCAGAAAAAATAACATTTTTAAGAGATTTCCTCCAGTGAAATATCTTAACTTAAACTAGAAGCTGAGAACAGTAAGGAGAATTCAGAAGTATGTAAGAGTTGAAAAAGAAACGGGAAAAAATAACAGACGCCAACAAATTTTAAATTACTGATTAAAATAAAAGTTTGAAAATTTAGATTCCAATATGCCCTCATCAAACCCAAATCTCCCAATTCTCACCAAAACTAAGCAATCAAAAATTGAGCACAAAAAAAGATAAATGAAATCAGAAACAAACCTGAAAGCAATCGCAATATCATCCCCAAACATCTCCAGAGCCCTATCAATGATAGCAAGCGGCGAAGCATGCTCCATCTCCTTCGCCAGCTGCTCATAGCTCACCTCGCTGACCTCCTCCTTCTCCTCCGTCACAGTTGCCGCCACAGATTCCATCTTTCTCCGCGGCTCCAACGCCTGCGCGGGCCGCACTGCCCACCGCCTCCGACCGCTCAGCGCCTCCGCAGGCGCCGCAACCATATCAAACTGCCTCACAGACCCAGCTTTTCCCCCTGCTCGAAATCACAAATCACTCATAAACCAAAGCAACCGAAGCAAGCCAAGACGCAAAATTTATGCAATCTGCATACCTCTGAGCTCGCGCTGGACGATAGCATGCGAAGAAATTGCAGAAGCAGAGGCCATTGAAAACGAATTAGTTCTTAGAACTGAACTCCGCCTTGTAATATGTTTCCTTTGGGTTTAAAATTGTGATTTTTTTTTTTTCTTGAGAGGTTGCAGAGATGGAGGGAGGGATTAATAGGAAGAGGAGAAGGGGAGCCGTTTCATGACGAAATGAATGTAGACGGGATTGCGTCCGTAGCGCAGTAGCTGACGTGGTAGGTTTTAATTGGATGGAGAAAGCGCGCGGCGAGAGCCGCTTGCCTCGCACCGGTGAGAGTGCGTAAGGGGTCGCGTGGCCGCCCTGAGGGCGGTCAAAAGATGCAAATCATGTAATTGCTATTTTACATTTATACCCCTTTAAAAGTGCTATTTTTACATTAAAAAATTATTCTCGTATGGAATTTCCATTTTGCTTCTCAATGGGAATAATTTTATATTATGATATTAATTTTTATTGGGATAAATTTTATTGAGGATGATTAATTATATATTTCAATTTTAATAACTATAAAATTATTTTGATTATTCTTAAAATTTAAAATTTTATGTGATATTAATTTAAAATCATCCTTTTTCAATTTAAATAAATTTATAATAAAAATAAGTGTCTTGAACCTATCGACATCACAAATCATCTAATTTGAGTCAAAATGAACCCAAATCAAAAACTTGAAATATATTTTAAAATATTTGAATATTAAATGAATGGTCAAATGCCTCCAAATCTTACACACATACAGTTAAATTGTGCTGGTCAACGAATGAATCTAACGAGCCTAAAATCATTATATTCTGATATCATTGAGATGCTCAAATAATCACCACTGACGATCACATTCAGTAATCACCGCTACAACTACATAGCTTTCATCATTTGAGTATTGTCACATAACTACTAAAACTTAACATTTTTATTGAAGTTCAACTGCCCGTTGGTGGACACCTGACTTCTTGAATCCCTATAACGAGAATCAAATAGTTAATTTCAATTATGCAATCAAAACTAGGTATTATAGTTTTGCCTCTTTTTAAACTTTCCATGCAAAAAATTTTTCTAATATCTTATAACATTTATTTGTTCGTGTTAAATCTTTATACAAACCTAAAATATTAAATACGCACTTTACCATTACAATACATATATTTTTTTCTTATGTTTAATAAATAAATAAATATATATATTTAAAATATTAATACACCTCATAATCAATTTATTTTCAAGTTATTTCATCTTATTTTGAAAGCATCTGTATATGAATGTGATTTGTATGTTGAAAGGGGAAGATAACTATTTTTGTGGTGTTAAAGGAAAGAAATTATGTCTTTGTATAAGGTATATCCATTTGCAATTATAGTTCCAATCAATACCCTCTAATTATTTAATAAAAGCATTTTTTGTACATTCGAATGATTGAGAAATTGAATTATTTTACAATCATGCAACTAATCAATAATAAATGTCTTAATTTGGATCAACTGATTATATATGGATTATTATTTATAGTAAATATTTTCATACCTAACAAGAGAGAGAGAGAGAGAGAGAGAGAGAGAGAGAAATGATGTGATGGATATCCATATATCTATTTTTTTTTTATTAACTTCCAAAATTTTGAAATATATGATTAATAAATTATATATATACATTCAAGCAAAGAGTGTAAGGTAAGCTGACTTATGAGTTAACTCAAATTTGACTTGATAAATGGTTCGTAAGTCAAGCTCAATGAGCTATGCTTAAGCGAGCTACAACTTGACTTGTTAACTCGTTAACTCACAAGCCGATTCAATTAAAAAATATTCATGTTGAATACTTGAATACACTTCAAATTTATTAGAATTCAAAGTTTTAAGTATAAAATTATAAAAAAAAAATTAAAAATTATACCACACTTTTTTATATTAAGTGATTCTTTATTATTGATCTTCTCATTTTCATTATTTTCTTGTAATTTTATTATAATAATTATTGAATCACAATCATTCTCTCTTTCATTATAAATGAGGTGGCTCGTGAGATGACTCAAGCTCATAGAATTAAGCTCAAGCTCAAAGTTTTATTTTTTTTATAATATTTAGCCAATTAAGTCAAACTCACACACACATCACATACACAAACTTCAAACCCGAGACCTCTTGATTGATAGCTCAAACTCCCAACTTACAAATCAAGATAAGATATGTTCGAGCTTAAACTCAATTAATTAATTAAGCTTAAGCTAACTCATTTACACCCCTAATTCAAGCTATATTTAAATTAGTTAAAGAGCCATGTCGTGCTCAAGCTAATCTAGATTTTTAGTATATGCACACTATATTAACAAATTTTAAATGAGCCAACTCAAGCTAATGAATCGGTCCAAACCTTGAAATAATATTGGCTTGTTAACTCACCAAGTTCAACTCACAAAATTCAATCCAAACAAATTCACGAGTCGATCGAACTTAATTACAGCCCTATCATAATATATACATCAAAACAACAAAGCTTAAGAGGTTTTCAAAAGACAACTGAGAAGATTTATTCAAAAGGAATGGAAAGGATAAGCTCAACAACAGATATTTGGGGTCCATCCCCTGTCTATTCCTTATATGGTTATTGATACTACATTTTTTTTTATTGACGATGACACTCAGTTCTGCTAGTTATATCTCACTCATTCCGAAATGAAACTCTTACTAAATTTCAACAATTTGTCAATATGGTGAAAAATCAATTCAACTCTCCTATAAAAACCTTCCTATCTGACGGAGGAGGAGAATTCACAATTCATGCCTTCAAATAATTTCTTCTTACTCATGGCATTTGTCATGAGTTAAGATGTCCCTATACTACTGAGCAAAATGGAGTCTCTGAAAGAAAACACCGTCACCTCCTCGATACAACACTCACTCTACTACATGCTGCAAATCTCCCTCACTTCTGGGCTGAAGCTGTTCAAACCCAAAATTACCTAATAAATCGACTGCCAACTTCCTCTCTCAATTTTCAAATTCCATTCAATCTTCTCCATGGTCACCCACCCAACTATGAGCATCTCAAATCCTTTGGATGCCTATGCTTTCCATTTCTACAACCTTAATCTCCTTACAAACTTGCACCGTGCTTGAATACCTGCATATTCCTTGGATACTCCTCCTCTCATAAATGATATTGCTGCCACAATCCGCAAACCCAAAAACTACATATTTCTCATCACGTTCTCTTTCATGAGAAGCACTTTGTGGTGTCCGACCACTTTATTTTCTACAATTTTGGGTTGTAATAAGCAAGACAATTTGTCTATGAATATTTATTAATTAATTTGATTATATATGATGTGTCAATGTGATTGCATATAGGATTACCTGCTTTTCTTAATTATTTAGCATTTGTGTCACTCTTTACTTTAGCCTGAATAAGCAAGGCTTGTGAGAGTGTGAAAATTTTTATATTCATAGTCAAAAGTTTAAAATTTTAGGAGTTAAGAAACTTAGAATGATAATAAATATAGGGAATTAGCCAAGGATCATCCCCGGGGTCGCATGCATATTACTACACTTCTTCTTTTCTTACTTTAGACACTTCCCTTCATGTAGGTGGAGTTCAGATAATCTGACATATGAGGATAAGGTGCCGGACTTGGGAAAATCTAGTCTTCTAAAAAATTATTTTTAAGCCTTTTTAAAATTTTAAGCATATATGATTTGAGATATGTTGACCAGCATGCATTGCATTAAAAACACATTTATAGGAGTATAAATTTTAATTGCATTAGTATTTAGCATTTTCACCTAGTTTAAGTCAAAGGGGGCACTTAGATCAATCTCTAGATATCGACCCTAGCTCTCCAAACCTTAAAAAAATGCCCCTACAACTCTTTCATAAAAATGATCGAACTTATGTATTTGAAATCGATTAGGTGGTTAGCTGGCTCCTCAATCCAGGCTGGGGTAAGTCTAGATCTTACACTATATTAGTTAGCTTCGGACTACTGTGGTTCAGTATCAAAATTTAGATTTAGGATCCAAGGCGGATCTTTGATCATAAGACCCCAACCTTCAAGAATATAATAACAAATTTCTAATAAAATGCTCAACTTTAACTAAATATTCATTCAATAAAAAATGTAAAGCTCAACATTTATATTAAGTTGAGACACTTATGGATTGTTCTAAAATCTCAAAGTATCCTCTACTCTTCTTCCCTTGAATCTGCTAATAAGTGGTCAATCTTAATCCATTCCTACTTGAAATTTCAAAATCTAATTCCTTTGATATCACTCATAGAAGATCTTTTTAATAAAATTTTGTCACTATTTTAATTGAAAGTTTTAGTATAAGACTCTTTCTTCATACGATATAATTAACTACGAGGGTTTACGCTTATAGGAGATTTAGAATTACATACACACCTTATTTTCAAAATTGATTATTAAAACTTACTTGATATTTATTTTTGAAAATCTAATTCATAATGATCGTTATCATCATAATCATATGATTGCTAACAGATGATTTTCTTTTTCTCTAAGGAGATTTATCATGCGTTAATGTTAGTTTTAATATGAAACTAACGATCACCTCCTCTTGATTATCATGGTTTGATTTTAGATTAAACCCCATCTTGATTCTCCCCGGGTCATATCTGGTTCTCCCTTATATAAGATTATGATAGCCTAGAGAAAATTTATAATTATGGATCTGAACCCGTGAGGAGATTTTATCTTCGCCTTTTGAGGCGGTATATCATCTCTAATGGTCTGTTTGATCTCTGGATTGAAATCAAAGCTTAATCCCAAATTTCCCAAACGAGATTTTCAAAACCCAAATTAGTATTCTTTGGAAAAGTTCAATCAATGACAATCACTATCGTCATGCCTGAATAATTGTCAAATAGTGGTATCTTCTTCCTTATGGGAGATATATGATTTACCCACAAGGTTTTGGGTATGAGATCAATAATAATCTACTTAGAATATCTTGGTTAGAAATTAGATCGAACTCCATTTTGAACTTTCGAGGTCATATGTGGTTCTATCTTGGAACTGGTTATGATATTCAAAGTAAGATTCATGATTTTAGATTCGAACCTCGTTTTAAGATTTTATTTCTACTTCTCGAAGTGGTATGACTTTTCTAATGGGGC